CGTTTTTATGCATCCTATCCTAGATCTGATAGTAAAATACTTGCTTTCAATCCAAGGGGTCTCAAGTTCGAACTCCCGAGAATCTAAATTTTTTTATGATTTCGTAATATTGCGCAATTTGATGTATTATTGTAGCTGATTAGAAATTATAATGGACAAGACCTAAATAGCTCAGTTAGTAAAGAGTTAGTCAGATAATTACAATAATTAATATAATTATATAAGATAATTTTTTCATTGAGAATCCAATCCAATTTGGGGTGTCTCAAAACAAGGAATGCTGTAAGGTTTTTTTGGGTGGTTTTAATGCAATTATGTTTGATTTTGGATGATTTTCAACAGTTTTCCCATGTGCCCATTTTCTGGTGGTCTATTGAGTTTCGAGTATTTTTTGGGAGCAAAAAAAATTATGATTTTTGAAGCAATTTCACAACATTAGTTTTACAAACTAAATAATGCCATTTTGGAGTGTCTAAAAACACGGTATGTTCTAAGTTTTTTAGAGTGCTCATGAGATAATTTTGCATGATTTTGGGTGATTTTCAACGGTTTTTTCATATGCACAATTTTTGGTGGTCTACGGATATTTAAGTACTTTTGGGGTGCATCAAAATTAATACTTTCTGAAGGGTTTTACGTCTTTTTCGGATGTTTACCTTTGTTTTTTGAAGACGCCAAATGTCCTGGTCCAGAAATAAAAAGCCATTTTGGGGTGTTCAAAAACAAGACATTTTGTAGTTTTTTAGATCTTTTTCGAATGTTTACTTTTGGGAAAACAATAATAATACGTAAATAAATAAAAAGATAATAAAAATTTTGTTCATTCGGCTATAATAAGATGTTCTAATATTTGTCTTAAATATTGAGATTGGAATTTGATGTGTTTATGTTATGAAGTTTTACACTTTTACACTTTAATTAGCAACATTTTTTGAATTGTATTGGAAAAATAAACAATAAATTTGAATATCTAAATAGTTTTTTTATCTTATTGGTCAAAGATTAATATACGTACCACAAAACTTTTATCTTCCTCAAAATTCCCTTATATGGGGCTCTTGAGTCTTAAACAACACTTTTAGATACGATGCGTCAATGGAGGGTCTCGCCACTGCTCGCGGCGGGAAGCTGTCACACAATTTGTTAAAAACACAATTGCATGTGAAAAAATGCAATAATTACACTAATTTTAAATAATTCACGACCGTTTGTTGTCGAATTTTCATCGTTTTTCTTGCTTTTTATTTCAAGACAAATTTACATGACAATTAAAGACAAATTAAAAAATCAGCAACTAAATTATAACATTTCTAATTGTTTATTTAAATTTTTTTATTAATGACCTTATAAGAAAAAATATTTTACACGTAATGAAAAGTTCACCTCTCATTCTAATTCTTTGAGAAATGATAAGTAAATTAGGCCGGAAAAAATTATCTTCAATGTTAATGAAATTAAGTCGTCTAGTATGAAATTCAATGCTATTATCATAGTCCTTCAGACACGTGTTGGCAATTCCCGACGTTAATCCCACACAAGTACTCATATTGAAAATTTGTAAATAAAAAATCTCAAGTTTTATTTTAAATAAAATTTCATTGTTTCCATCTCAGTGATTGTTCAAGCAAATCGAATTTTCTACTTAGCCTTGTTCCAGTAATTATAGATGTTTCTAATGAGAACAGACGATATTGTTTATTCCATCCTAAAATATGGAATTAAATAAAACAATGCTTGTAATTATTAGAAATAAAAAACCAATTGTAATGACAAAGTTTTATGTTTTAATTAAAGAATAATTATGTTTCATCCTGTCAAAAAAATGGCAATAACATGAACACGTACACAGTGGTTACGTTTGGTTGGGCTATTAAAAAAATTAATCATTTTGTATTCCTTGCATTTCTAATCAACGTCACCTCGTCCTAAAAAAATCAGTTGCGTGGTCAGCATAATAATTTTTGTCTTTATAATACAATTTTTCACTTATCACCAAATAATTATCAAATAATAAAGCCTAACATTGTTGTTTATTTGTATCTTTTTGGTGACAATTGAATGATTGGCACCTTGGAACTTATTCATGATGGAAATGTGTGTTGTTCTTCCAATTTAATTATTTGTACCAACAAGTTACCAAGAAAATAGTTATATCATGATAACCTAAAAAAGGTTTCGATAACTAGGACAAACACAAGTTATTGTATTGCACTATAGAAAAATTTCCACGTGGAACACGGTTACTTGCCAGTTTAACTTGTTAAGCGCTATTGGTTCACAAAGACTTTAAATTACTTGTCATAAATCTTATGAATTCAAAGAGTTTCTTGCAACAAACACTTTAATCAGACTCGGGGTGACTATAATTTTGTTTACTCTTGATTTTAGACAACTAAATAAAGATTTATTATTATGAAAAAAAATTGTTAACTAACTTATATAATAGTATGAAACTACATGTTATTAAGCGCAAACCAACAAATAAATATTGGTTATTGTAAAATTCATCAAATATTGTCATTCAAGGTAACATTTATATAAATAATTAATATTTCGTATTCGTCAAATGAAAAGTTATAGGGTTATAAAAATTAATTTTCCACCTTTGCAGGAATTAATCTTTTAAATGTTCGTCACTATGGCCGTTATTTATGATAATGTTGTCATTGTCTACGTCAATGTTTTTAACTAATTCTATTACTTTATAATAATGCACGACTTTTTACTTTTTAAAATTACAGAACGATAACTGAACTGAAAGCAAAAAAAAAACGACAAAAGTAGAATTGAAAAAATAAAAAGGTGAGTAAAAAAAATAATAAAAAATCGTCTAATCTAGTCAGAAAGATAAGCTAAAAATTTATCTTTATATAACCAAGCGTTTTTAAGTACTTATTATAAAATAGTATATTATGTTATTAGGAGTAGAAGTAATAGTTTATGTGGCAAAACTGAATGAATGTTTGTTTTGCCTAACGTAGTGAGGTGAGCCACATAAACTCACGTTTACTCCAAATAACATATACTATTTTATCCGCAAACATAAAGAACAACACTTTGATTAGCAAGTAAATGAACAAAATAATCAGGACAAATTTTTGTTGAGATTTGTGTGTATTAATTTAACTAGTACAGTTAGTAGTGCAAAATGTCGAGTGCTGATGATCTAGAATGTACCTCTTCAGAAACATCGTTAAATATCATGGTAAAAGTAAAAACTCTTAGGCACAAAAATAGAATTTTACACTTTTACTTGTGACATTTCTAAACCAATTGTTAATTTATGTAATTAAAAAAAAAGCACTTAATAAAAGCAATACTCTTCATTATTACATATTTATTTATTTTTTATTGTATCGATTGGTATTTGTTTTTGTTTTGTTTTCATAAAAGTTGAGTTACAAATAACAAATGCTTTTGTCTCAATTTATTAGAAAAACAAAATATTTTTTTTATTTGAGAGAAACAATAAATAATAAAATTACTTGACGTAAAAGCACATTTTTTATAAATCTTTTTGTAAAATTGCTGCAACATAGCCAAAAATAAATAGTTGGTAAATACTTATCACTTAGAAAGTGAAAGCTTCAAAATACAGAAGTCAATAATAGTATATTTTATTATTAAGAGTAAAAGTTATACTTTATGTTGTGAAGCTAAACGTTGTAAACTTTTACTCCAAATAACACTATTACTATTTTACCCGCAAGCGTATTCAGATCGAGATAATTGCCAAGTAAATGAACAAAATAATTAGAACGCTTTGCAACTAATAAAATCGGAGTTTGTGTTGAGATTTTTGTGTTTATTAACTTAACTAGTGCAGTTGGTAGTACAAAATGTCGAATGTTGATGATCTACTATGTACCTCTCCAGAAATTGCTGAAACCGCAGAAAACACAAGAAAGAAAAAGCTTTGGTAAATGTTAATAATGTCATGATAAAAGTAACAACGCTTAAGCGCAAAAATAGAACGTTTACTCCATGGCTGAAAGGTAAAACTTTTACAGTCATAAAAGTGGCCACTTTTGTGACATTTGCTGATAAATAAGCGGTTCTAATTTAAAAACAAAAGAGTGTGGAATTTAAAAACACAATAAAAATTTAATTGTTTAAAAACTATAACGTGTTTTATAGCATTTTGCCTTTAATTTTTTTAATAATAGTTTTACTAAGCAAACTGATTACTTCTCAACTCAAAACATGAATTTGAGCAAAAATCCCACATTTAATTTTTGTTGGTCCTCCCTGTAAATAATAATGCAACTTGGTAATAATGCAACTCGCTATTTTTTCAAATTTTCTAAAACAATCGTAACAGTAATGGAATTTTTCGTTATAATTTTTACTCGTACAAAAGTAACCTTCATAAATTTTCAAGATAAATATTTTTCGTACAAATTGTGTCATAAATCGTAATTATTCGTTTTGAAACACTAAAAAGATATTAATATTAAAGTAATGAATTTGATAAATTAAATAATTGTTTATACAAGCATATAGTAAATGATGCGTCAACAAATACAGTAGACTAATTTGATAAATGTCATTAATTGATATCAATCTTATCAACAAATTTCTAAAATGGCAATGAAAATGTCTAAGTTTTGATTTGTTCTTAGAAAATTAGGTGGAAAATTGAATCGGTATTTTAATTTTTTATTCAAAAAAAATCAACAATTAACACGTACATTAATTGATATCAATCTTATCAACAAATTTCTAAAATGACAATGAAAATGTCTAAGTTTTGATTTGTCCTTAGAAAATAAGGTGGAAAATTGAATCGGTATTTTAATTTTTTATTCAAAAAAAAATCAACAATTAACACGTACTTGAAAATTATTAATTTAATAAATAACAAGAAGTAAATATTTACTGTAATAAGTTTGAAATTCATTGGAGGAAATTTTTGAGAATTAGCAAAAATCTAAAAACTTCAACTGTGTGTCTTCTCCATTCATAATTCAGTTTGTAGTCCGAAACTTTTTCATTACTAGCGTCTGTGATAAAGATACGTTAATCTCGAAAGAATAAATAGAGGTCGCTCACAGAACCAATTCAGTTGAAGTTGCGAGACGACCACGAGCACAACTCTGTTTCAAATTTGCACTTTCAATGCAATAATTCAAAATACGAAAAATATTTCAATTAGATCTGTGATAGCATATAATAATTTTTAACGAAGCCATAAGACATACAAGATGACCACATTAGACAACTCCTTGGACTCGATTTTAGTCCAGATTGGCGATTTTGGGAAATATCAGTCGTTTATGTTTAGTTTAGTTTGTTTTGGTGTTGTTTTACACTCTGGAGTTCATGTAGCGTTCGTTTTTACTGCTATGGATGTAGATTATCGGTGAGTTAATTTTTCTTATTGTTGTTGATCGATAAGTTTAGATATAAACTTAGGCGATTAAAGATTACATACCATTGTTTTTTTGTATAATTATTTGAGTGGGTTTTAATAATCGCAAAATCTAGACACTGAATTTACTGATAAATAACAACTAATCCTCTTGCCGTATTGAAATTAAATCAAATATTAGATTTATATGTAGATCTAGAAATCTGCTCAATAAGAGATAAATGAATTAATTAAAACTGCTTCATAAAAATTTTGTTTCCTGAAAAAAATCATCAATTTTTTGTTTATAACTAAAATTTTATGTTTTTTTTTATAAATCTCAAATATTTTGAGATTTTGAAGTACACCAACCTTGAATTCATTTAATCGTACCATCAAAATGACATGAATTTGAAACGAGTTTTAGATTGTAATTATTATGAATGAAATCATTATCATATCATTGAAGCAGACGTAAAGAGATTTTTTAAACATATATTTTTTTTTGAAAATTGAAAACAAAATAGGAAAAAATCAAATAAATTATAATATGCGAAAATAAAAAAAGTCCCATCCACATCATGTTTAATTCAGAATATTTTTAAAAAAATTTAAAACTGCAAAAATGAGCACTTTGTTTAGAAACTCAATAAAATGCACATTTCAATATAAATCTAAATACTATTCAGTAATGATTAGAATTTTTTTTATTTGCAAGTCTGAGAGGGTTTTCAGGTTTTCAGTAAATTTCAGCAAAAGCTTACCTCGAGACTAATGATTGCTTTAAACCCTTACTGCACATACAGGGGTTCCAGCGATAATTAAAAAACAATTCCACTAGGTCAGAATAAAAATAACCTTTCTATTTTAGTAGAAAAAAATGTGGAAGATTCTAAAGAAAGGTATTGAACCGCCACGTGTCTGAATACCACCACTTTATTTTTGCTGAAAAAGTTCATAAAAAAATTATTATCAGCCACTGAACTAAATTTTCAGCAAAAAATGATTTTTGGAAAAATTTCAATTCATTTTGTCGTTAGCCGAAATTTTTTGCGCATTATTTAAAAAAAAGAACGGTTTATAGTTGCAACATATATCTTGAAGTGTTATTTATTGACAGTCCATAAATAGTTACTGCGATACTTGGATAACTCATTATTATCCATAAAACGGTTCTATTTGCAAAAATTAAAACAAAAAGTTGCATAACATGCATAATACAAGACAAAAAAGTAGAAGTAGAAGAAAAATAAAAGAAAAAAGAAGAATCAGTAAAATAGTAGAACAAAAAATAAAAGAAAAAAGCACAATTAGTACTATTTTATGATTTTATCATTTCTTAAAAGAATTTATTTAGTTTATATGCAAATGTCATAAAAGTAACCACTTTTATGACTAAATATCACAAGTAAAAGTTTTACTTTACAGCCATGGAGTAAAAATTCTAGTTTTGCACCTAAGCGTTTGCACTACTAACTGCACTATTTCAATTAATAAACACTTTCGAAAATCTCAACACAAACCCCGATACTGACGCGTGATGTTTGTTTTAAGCGTTATTGTGATTTTTTTTATTGAAAAAGGATATATACACAGAAAAAAAGTTATTTAGCAAAAGATACAAGTAGGTACTATAATGATTGGCAATAAATTTTGTGTAATTTATTGAAATGAGCTCAAAGTTGATGCATTTTGTAAATTCTTTTTTAGCTTTAGTTTCAAAATTGTTACTTTTTCAACTCGTTTCTCAAAAACGATGCACAAGACACTAATTTAATTGCATTCTTTCCGAGGTTCTTTCTCATTCATGTTTATTTTGTATTTTTCTCAATTTCTTGCTAAAAATTGAGAATATTTAGCAAAAATTGCGTGTACATTTTAACGGGCCTTTTTTCCAACTTCCTGCTTGCGAACTATTCGTTTACAAATTTCTAAAAAATGTTAAAAGTACCGAATTTGTTTCTTTTTTGGTGTTTCGTCTCTAAATTTTCTTTGACGATTTTTTATGTTGACGTTTAATGACATTGATGTTTTCAAATTAATTCAAAAAAAAGAAACTCCCAACTTCCTTCATTAAAATTACCATGAAGCTAAGACTGTTTGGCATTTCCATTAAAAAAAAAAACAGACTTTACTTTCTGCTCTTCAACATTTTTATTGACTAAATTTACAATTTTGTATTTCGGATTGTTTTTTGATGAAATAAATCACAATAACGATGATTAAAATTTTTGAATTTCATTCTTAAGAACCAAATTTTGTTACCAATAGATGTGAAATTCCAAAATGTGACGCGGTAGACCCGCAATTTGAACCCCCTTGGTTATCAAACGCCATACCATATTCCGAAAATGGGCCGGCAAAATGTACAAGATACAAAATAAATGCCACTGAAGACTTTGGCAATTGCACCAAAAGAGGTGATTTCACGACTTTGACAGAAAAATGCGATTCTTTCGTTTACAAAACAAGGGAAAAAAGTATTTTACAAGAGGTAAAACTAAAAATGAAACTAGAATTGACCTATCTTTTAATTTGTTTCATTTCAGTATGATCTCCAATGTGATGACAATCTATGGAAACTAACACTAGTTGGTACCATTAATAATGTGGGCCAATTTTTTGGGTTGTTTATTTCAGGAGTCATTTCAGACAGGTAAAAAACTTGTTTCAAGTGTAAACATACAAAAAAATGTGAAATTAAAGGTTTGGTCGTAAAGTTATATTCATTTGGGGCCTTATATTATGCGGAGTTTGTGGATTACTTCGAACTCTTGCTCCAACTTATATTTGGTTTTTGGTTTTTGAGTTTTTGGATGCTGCATTTGGGGCCGGTAGCTACGTTTGTGGATTTATCATGGGTATTAAAAAAAATGATAACACAGGGCGACAAAAAAAAAGCATGTCGTGTCAACTTGACAAATTAAATATCATTTTGTTCGTCTCAGTGAAACAAATCAAATGCACTAAAAAAAATTTAAAAATGTTCACACACTTTGAACTAAATAATTTTTTTCTAATTTAAATGAATTTAAAATACTTGAATTTTAAAAAATCATTACTCAATAACTATTAGGCCGACTTCCTTCAAATAAAGACCATTCTAAAGGGATGGACTTGCCCTTTAGAATGATATGAAATTTGAAATTGAATATTGGCAAACTTTTTTTCGAACAGTGTTCCAAGAAGTTCGAAGTAAATCGAAATGATTTAAGAAAAACCCTACGAGTAATTTATCTTTCATCATTACCATCGTGTAGAGCATCTCTTCTTTGAAGTTAAGGTTTGCTAATCAAGCATTGCCCCATATGGGAGAAATGCATGTTAATCTTACTTAAAATTGCATTTTTATAAAAGTATTTGTTTTAAGACTCTTCTTTTGCTTAAAAATGGTCAATTGCACCTTCTTTGTTCTAATTAGAATAAACAAAAACTGTCTGTTTACTTAAAACAAATAAAGAGTACTTGCGTACTAATTAAAGCAAATATGGAGTTTTTTTGTGGTAAAAATGATCACTGATCATTGAGCAAAGAGGATCTAGAAGTTTAAGGCACGAGCCTTAAATATAAGGGCAAATCTTTTTCAAATCAAATCACTTTCCATTCAGATTTCGACTTGTTCACTTTGTTCTAGTTTTCTGAACTTTTTTTGAAAATGTTCTGAGCAAATGCTTTCTCATCACTTTCGAGTAATGTTGAATACAATAAGTCACCTGATTTATTTTTTGTACATTCTACGATTAGCTTCAGTTAACTTGTTGGTAGTAGTAGATGTAGTTCTGCAAAATTTTTAATATTTTAAATGGAAGCCCACAATAAAAACATTTTTACAAAGGTTATGATCTAAGAATTATTACTTTCTGCATGTTATTTAATTTTTATCTAAAGAAAATTTCATACAGGGTGATGTTATAGTATTTTTTGGGTTACATTCAACCGTCTAATTTCAAAGAGAAACTCATTTTTTTTTTCACAATTTGGAAGATATTAGTTTTCTTGGTACAGACGTGTGCTACTAAAAATTTTGTTTAAAAAAGTTTCACAATTAATAAAAATCTAGTTGCATGGTATCAATAAATAAATTGACATTTTTTAAAAGCAAACAAAATAAATAAATAATAATAACATATATTAATAATATTGAATTAGATGTTTTATTTTTCTTTTTGAAATCT